GCAGCATATCAGATGCAAAGCACACAGCTAACAAAGTCCACATGTTCCAAAATCACAAAATTCTACACAAACATAGTCAAACAGAAGGCACGATTATCTTAGTTAACACCCAATTCTACTCTACACCATCCTCTAATCTATGCATTAAACACACTTTACAATATTTAACAACAACAACAAATTAGAACCTTGGATCATAGTATTTATACACCAGACTTCAACAATTCAAGTATCAAGATTCAACTACAACAACTCCAGAATACTACCAACTCCAACTTATCCATTCTCTTGGAACAACTAATTTTCCCTGCAAAGGAATACAAAACTAACACTATCTAATCAATAATAATACTTTACAAGCTCAATATTCAATTGTTTTGTCAAACTAATCCATGACCAATCCCCAAACAATTCAAAGGCACCTCGATCAACTCAATCCTACTCTCTATCAAACATTCCACAGCTATAAAAAGCAAACAAAATATATACAATATTATATATATTGAGCAATTCCTAGATTATACAAATATCTATATGCTAGACTGGTACTCCTTTCATCATAATATTCAAAAAATTCCTAGAGGAAAAACTTCTTGTTGGTTCAAGAATGTTACAGATATAATAGTCCAGTTCTCAAACCCATCAACTACATTAATCTTTCCAAATCCTTTTATATTTATACCAATTAACTTGTCTATCAGCAAATGGATTATTACCTGTAAAAAAAAGTTTGGCAGAATTACAAGTTCAATGAACAATCTAGCAAAAATATATATGAAGAAATCTGGAAACCAAGCTGAATATGGACACAAAATAATACTCCAAATCCACTAGTTATTATTACATCTTTAGAAAATAACACCCCCCTTTGTTCAGTAGATAAAAAATTTCACTTATAGCTTAATGCCTTTATTCACCATAACTCATTATCTCCTCTTTTAAATTATGTAAAGATGTTGTAAATCTTATTTTTGACGAAGAGAAAGATGAAAAATTAGAAATGAAAAATAAGAATGAATATGAATTATCATCGGATAACGAGATAATTGAGAATTTATTTTTATTTAAAAGCAGAATGAAATTAAGTCCTGATGCTATGCCTGTTTTACCCTGGAATAGTTATTATGAGAATTAGTGATAGAAGGATAACCTAATTTTTTTTTTTTTTACTTGTATTATTTTACATTTACATACAATAAGAGAGTATAAACACAACTTTTGATTGTCCATTTAAGTAGTTTTATTATAAATTTTATACTAGCTACTATATATTTGCAACTTAATTACTCTTATTTATTTGATTTATATATTCTTAATAAATATATAATATTAATAATAAAATATTTTGATCGGAGATAATTATATATATATACAGTATATATGTATATATTTATTTAAGAGAGGTCTTTCTCTATTCCTTTATTTCAAAATATATAATTTGGATACAACTAGTACTAATTTATACATTTAACAAAAGGGAGTAGAAGTTAGGGCTAGGATTTACCCTCAACCTATTCTTAGCTAGAATGGTTGAAAAACCTCTAGACTAC